GTTATAAGTACAATGTATCGTCTCAAAATAACAGCAGTCACTTTTTTCTCATTACTATGTATTGCAGATATAAAAACACAAAGGTTCCACATGAAGAAACATCTTCAGCAACTTGACAACACATGCAGCGTTTAGAGAACATCCAGCAACTTGAGGAGACATGCAGGGAGACCAGGGGACACTAAAGAGTGACGCACACAGCTGGGAGACCAGGGGACACTAAAGAGTGACGCACACAGCTGGAGAACAGGGCCCACTAAAGAGTGACGCACACAGCTGGAGAACAGGGCACACTAAAGAGTGACGCACACAGCTTGAAGACCAGGGGACACTAAAGAGTGACGCACACAGCTGGGAGACCAGGGGACACTAAAGAGTGACGCACACAGCTGGGAGACCAGGGGACACTAAAGATTGACGCACACAGCTGGGAGACCAGGGGACACTAAAGAGTGACGCACGCAGCTGGGAGACCAGGGGACACTAAAGAGTGACGCACACAGCAGGGAGACCAGGGGACACTAAAGAGTGACGCACACAGCTGGGAGACCAGGGGACACTAAAGAGTGACGCACACAGCTGGAGAACAGGGCACACTAAAGAGTGACGCACACAGCTTGAAGACCAGGGGACACTAAAGAGTGACGCACACAGCTGGGAGACCAGGGGACACTAAAGAGTGACGCACACAGCTGGGAGACCAGGGGACACTAAAGAGTGACGCACACAGCTGGGAGACCAGGGGACACTAAAGAGTGACGCACGCAGCTGGGAGACCAGGGGGACACTAAAGAGTGACGCACACAGCTGGGAGACCAGGGGACACTAAAGAGTGACGCACACAGCTGGGAGACCAGGGGACACTAAAGAGTGACGCACGCAGCTGGGAGACCAGGGGACACTAAAGAGTGACGCACACAGCTGGGAGACCAGGGGACACTAAAGAGTGACGCACACAGCTGGGAGACCAGGGGACACTAAAGAGTGACGCACACAGCTGGGAGACCAGGGGACACTAAAGAGTGACGCATGCAGCTGGGAGACCAGGGGACACTAAAGAGTGACGCACACAGCTGGGAGACCAGGGGACACTAAAGAGTGACGCACACAGCTGGGAGACCAGGGGACACTAAAGAGTGACGCACACAGCTGGGAGACCAGGGGGACACTAAAGAGTGACGCATGCAGCTGGGAGACCAGGGGACACTAAAGAGTGACGCACACAGCTGGGAGACCAGGGGACACTAAAGAGTGACGCACACAGCTGGGAGACCAGGGGATTGATTGATTGATTGATTGAAAAGTTTATTAACAGCTTGTATATTGGGTACAGTACAGTACAACTCAAAACATACAATTGTTAAGGGGATGCAGACCAGAGAAAGACTTTCGTCTTGTTTACATCAGGGTCCCCCATTTCCAATTCATCATGTCATTTAAGACATATTTGACATACAGATGGCTTATTTACAATTTACATACAGGTGTTTTTTTTACATACAGATTGCTTGTTTACAATTTTCATTTTAGATTTCGTTCTAATACATCCTAACCGGACATTTAAGACATACCAAGTCTACAGATATACAGTTAGTAACAGAGTCTAAAATGCGAGTATATACATAGATGGGTGGGGGGAAGCTGTCCATTGAACGACAGGTTGAGATTTGTACCATTACTGGGGCCAGTTTTGCAATGCTCTCCCCCGAAGGTGCTCTTTAAGAGAGGTTTTGAAGGTAAGTATAGTTTTACTTTCCTTTACAGTTGTGGGAAGAGCGTTCCACCTTGATGTGGCATAATTGCGAAACGTGTATTCCCCCTTTTTTATGCCAAAAGGGACACTAAAGAGTGACGCACGCAGCTGGGAGACCAGGGGACACTAAAGAGTGACGCACGCAGCTGGGAGACCAGGGGACACTAAAGAGTGACGCACATAGCTGGGAGACCAGGGGACACTAAAGAGTGACGCACACAGCTGGGAGACCAGGGGACACTAAAGAGTGACGCACGCAGCTGGGAGACCAGGGGACACTAAAGAGTGACGCACACAGCTGGGAGACCAGGGGACACTAAAGAGTGACGCACACAGCTGGGAGACCAGGGGACACTAAAGAGTGACGCATGCAGCTGGGAGACCAGGGGACACTAAAGAGTGACGCACACAGCTGGGAGACCAGGGGACACTAAAGAGTGACGCACACAGCTGGGAGACCAGGGGACACTAAAGAGTGACGCACACAGCTGGGAGACCAGGGGACACTAAAGAGTGACGCACACAGCTTGGAGACCAGGGGACACTAAAGAGTGACGCACACAGCTGGGAGACCAGGGGACACTAAAGAGTGACGCACACAGCTTGGAGACCAGGGGACACTAAAGAGTGACGCACACAGCTGGGAGACCAGGGGACACTAAAGAGTGACGCACACAGCTGGGAGACCAGGGGACACTAAAGAGTGACGCACACAGCTTGGAGACCAGGGGACACTAAAGAGTGACGCACACAGCTTGGAGACCAGGGGACACTAAAGAGTGACGCACACAGCTGGGAGACCAGGGGACACTAAAGAGTGACGCACACAGCTTGGAGACCAGGGGACAATAACAATGTGGTCACATGACTCCTTCTGATGCTACTGCAGATCTGCTGTAAGCTAGCTAGCGGCCTACATTTGCAATTTCTCAAAACAATAAAGGATGCACCCATTAATTTGATATTGGTGGTACATTTGATTAAAGGAGCTTTGAATAAATGAATCTATGAGCCCTGGGAGGAAGGCCAGAAGAAAATGGACATGGCATAACATAATATAAGATCCTTTATGTTTCCACCCCACTGTGCTTTAGCTGTTAGGCTAACTCCCAATGTGCAACACGGACACATTCCTCAAGGCTTAAAAGTAGAATTACGCACCTGTGGGGGAAGCCGGGCCACGACTAGTATGATGTTTGTATGGAAAGGATCATCTGTAAAGTCAAGCTTCTAATAACTTGACTTAAGGGGGGGGGGGACACAATCCTTGAAATCCATATTGTATTTGCTAATAAGAGCCCCGGCACTCTTTGAAGCATTTCATGGATTTATTAATGCAGCAGGTGAACTCTTAATCTGCTTTATAACAAAGGTCAAGGTCAAGAATAGTAGTGATTAAAAAGGATCATTGAGCTGAACGATGTTTTTCATTTGCTTTTGGACCTCAAATCTAAAGCATCCATCTTGTTTTCGACACGTTAACACCCCCACAGAAGAGGCTTTTGGTTTAATGCTCTGGCTTCTACTGATAACAGGGAGTAAATCTAATTACTCCCTTTATTGCCCGTGAACAAGGGGGGGATAAGCTGTATGGGATAACATGGAGTCATGCTACTTTGTACTTTTCCTCCACTACATGTATTTAATACCTTTAGTTACTTCACAGATGTGGATGAATGATGTGAAATCTAACCAAGTGTTGAATCAGACTTTAGTTCCACCTGGAGTAAATCCACCAGCTACCCTGCAGTATACAAAGTCATTCAAACTAGCTGCACCTTCACCAGCTTTGAGAACACTTTCATGATCAATCATTATAAAACATATCATATATATTATTCTGAAATGGACCAATCTGCACAACGACTACTTTCACTGTCGCTACTTTCACTATATTTTGATGAGAATACTTTTCTACTTTCACTTGAGGAACATTTTGAATGCAGGACTTTTACTGCAACAGAATATTCCTACACTCTGGTACTTTTACTTTTACTCAAGAACAAGATCTGAGTACTTATACTTTTACTCAAGAACAAGATCTGAGTACTTCTACTTTTACTCAAGCACAAGATCTGAGTACTTCTACTTTTACTCAAGTACAAGATCTGAGTACTTCTACTTTTACTCAAGTACAATATCTGAGTACTTCTACTTTCACTAAAGTACAATATCTGAGTACTTCTACTTTTACTCAAGCACAAGATCTGAGTACTTCTACTTTTACTCAAGTACAAGATCTGAGTACTTCTACTTTACTCAAGTACAAGTTATGAGTACTTCTACTTTACTCAAGTACAAGATCTGAGTACTTCTACTTTACTCAAGCACAAGATCTGAGTACTTCTACTTCTACTCAAGTACAATATCTGAGTACTTCTACTTTTACTCAAGTACAAGATCTGAGCACTTCTACTTTTACTCAAGTACAAGATCTGAGTACTTCTACTTTCACTCAAGTACAGGATCTGAGTACTTCTACTTTTACTCAAGTACAAGATCTGAGTACTTCTACTTTTACTCAAGTACAGGATCTGAGTACTTCTAGTTTTACTCAAGTACAATATCTGAGTACTTCTACTTTACTCAAGTACAATATCTGAGTACTTCTACTTTTACTCAAGTACACGATCTGAGTACTTCTACCTCTGGTTTCAGGGACTACAGATGTGTGTAAACAGACGGGGAACTTAGCAGCTCCCTGGTTCCCTCTACATGTTTCCATTAATCTTTATGACACTGCCAGGTTTTGTTCAGCAGGTTAATCTCCACGTTATGCTTTTTGAATTAAAAAGGCCTTTTGTCTCCCCTTCTGGAAGTAAATAAGACATTTCCCAAAAATTCAGAAAATAAATATGAAATCAAAAAAATTCAGATGCAAAATAAAAACGTATTTTTCAAAATACAAAAGAATCAAAATAATTACAGACATGAGCTTTAGCCCGGACTCCAACCAGCCATGTGCTCTGGCACTTCTCATAACTCCTCATAGCAGCAGGAGGATGTTGTTGTTTCATATGTTTTCTAACAACAGACGCTCTCAAACTAACACGTCCTCGTTGTCCTTGACACTTCCAGTTGTTCCCGATTGAAAAGTGAATCATTGATTATGTCCTCTTTACTGAGCCTCACAGCAGTTGCGTCTGACTGGTGAAAGATGTTTGTATTTGAACAGGAAGGACGGCCTGCTGTATAATTAATGAGCAGGTGTTGGGTTCACAGCAGGGAGCTTCTGCTGAGCGCTCACCTTTAAGGACGAACACTTTGTACGGAGAGGAGACAGAAAGTGGAGCAGTGTGAGGCGGAGAGAGAACGATATGTTTCACTCCACTGATGTCACATCTGGAGAGAGAGAGAGATCTGCGAAATTCACACCAGACAGGTCAAACATTTCGTCATTGAAAGTTGAAAAGGTTTAGAGACACTGCGGCGGGTGAGAAAAAAGAGATTCTTAAATATTGAGTATGCTAATCGAAGATACTGCTGTAACGATAACGTGTCTCTACCGAAACAAAAATAAAACTAGGAACATTTTGTTTTTTTAAGGAAGGATTGATGATTTGGGTTCTCTTACAAAATATAACAACTACTGAAGGGATTATTTTTGCACATTCATGGTTCCCAGAAGATGGATCCTGATAAGTTTAGTGATGCTCTGAATTACCCATCGTCACGATTGGCTCCATGAGTCGAGGAAGTCAGGCGGCTTCCCTGCACAGCATACCGAGCGCACAGAGGCCGCAAACCAGGCGCTACACATAGGTAAGAGAGCAATCATCATATGTGATGTTTGTTATTAGAAGTCCAATATACATCGGATCACATTTCCTTCTTACACCAGCCTGTGGTGATTTGTGTATTCCTGCTTTACTTGGTCGACGGTCGTGAAGTTTCCTAGTGTGTTTTGTTTGGAAAGGTGGAAGAACAGCACCTGCCAGGCTGTGATCCACATCCGCCATTCCTGCCAGCAAAAACCCCATCATGTCCTGATGCATGTCCGGTCAGCACTGTCACTATTCACAAGTGGAGTGGTAATTCAGTCGCTTCTCAGAGAGTCTCAACTTTCTTGACAAGGTCCAAAGGGAAATCCAACTGTGTGTATGTGTCATCAGTCAGAACTGTTTCTCACATATCCCCCGCACTGTGTAGCCGGCTGCCTCTAACCTGTCGGTTAGTAGCCAGCAGGGCTCGCTGCAGAAGCCTGCTGTTTTTAACCTATGGGTTAATAAACAGCAGAGCTCGCTATTTAAGCCGGCTGCCTCTAAGCTATGGATGCCGTTTAAGTCAAAATTAAATAAATAATTAAATATATATATATATATATACATAAATATGCCTATGAAATAAATAAATAAGGTTATGTAATTAATTCTGAAATAAATAAATAAGGCAAAAAATATATATAAATGTACCTTTAAATACACGTTTCTTTATTTCAAGGGACTTTTATTTCATAATGCCACATTTATTTCTACGGTCCATGTTCACGTCAAGCGATGCAAATGAACTTCTCGACCAAAAGCAGAAGTGCTTAATTTGAAGGCTGAGGGATAGACTTCAAAAGAAGAGAGGAAACAACCAGTTCTCCTATTGCGATGTCCAGAGGTTTAATTAGAGCAACACTTCTCCATCTACGAGTCAGAGAGAGCTCAACAGAGCGGCTGGAGCGATGGCGGAGGGAGAGGAGGAGGTGAACTACGCTTCGTGGTGGAGTCACGCATTCTGGTGAGATCAGGTTGCATTTCTACAACGTCCTGCAGTGAGCTAAAACGTTTTTTAAATCTACTTTATAGCTTGTAGTAACTCACGGGAGGCTTCTTTTATTTTATTTGTATTCATAATTATTTGTATTTTTCGTCAGAATGTATTATGGTGCATTATTTATCAATTTCTGTTCTCAACAAAACAGTGGGCAATGTGAGCGTCCATTCTCATTGGATAACGGATAACATATTGGGAGTGTGCAGTGTGACCAATGTCAACGTCTTGCAGACGGGGCATCCTGGTCTTATGAAAAAATGATGGTGGAAAGCTGCACTGTCTTTTCTCCCGTTTGTTTTTGACATATCAAAAACAGTTTATGATCGTAGTATGCACAAGTCTTTATGTCAATTCAGTGACTTGAAGTTACAAAAGAGTACTTGCTAAACCATGACCTTTTACCAGTGTATTCTGGTCCTTTAGTAAAACTACTGATATCATGCTGTAAAATTATCCTTTACAAGTAGAAGTACAGCATTGAAAATGTTACTTGAGTAAAAGTAAGTAAGTATAAAAAGCCAACTGTACTTAAAAACATCTTCCGCAGACTAAAAACTCATCTCTTTTGACTCCACTTCGAGCGATAGAATTACTAACAAAGCACTTATACTAATAAAGGACTGGCTTATCTAAAGCCAGTTGAGTAGCACTTGAAATGTTTGGCTCTATGAAACCTGATGTACTTATATGACTCTTTTCTTCAAGGTTGTATCTTCTTGGTCGAATGCACTTATTGTAAGTCGCTTTAAATGTAATGTAATGTTAAAATAATGACACAGAAAAGTTCAAAATTAAAGAAAAAACACCCAAAAATAATTAGATCACATTTGCGTAAATGTCCAATTAAGTTTCTTCATTATCTAGTTTTTCAGATCGTCCATCTGTTCATATTTATAACAACACATTATATATATTAAATAATAATGCATCTGAATGATTAACTTACTATACATTTAGTGGAGTAAGATTTATGATTCCTTTGAATTGTAGTTGAGTTAAATCATACAGTGGCATGACAAGAAAATACTCAAGTAAAGTACCCTTACCTCAAATTTGCACTTAAGTTTGATTAAATATATTCAGTAACATTCTACCACTGCCTTTAACTTTATCAAGTGGTTTTGTTGCTTTTAACGGGGTTGTATCTGCAACGTTATTAACGTGTTAAAAACTGTGAATTAATCTGTGACTAATTATGAGGTTTGTTTTTAGGAAATCTCTTGCAAACGGTTATTTAGAGATTTCACTTTTGAGATTTAACACTTTTAGCAAAGTACATGAAGCAGTTTATCAAAACACAATGGGTTCACAACTCTTTAAGTCGGCCCTTTAACAACAGTCAGGTGCCTGTTTAAATATGTGAACAATCTTTCGCTGTGCATATCACTCCTTTTGTTCATTTAGGACATTTCTCATACAATGTAAGTGATAGGCGACCAAATGCACTCCTTTGTTCTGAACTGTATTCCAAAGTTTGACTGAATAATATAAGGTTCAAGCATCTGAGTTAGTCAAATCAACTTGGTATCCTTTCCTGTCTTTTACCTTTTACTCTCATGAAAAAGAAGATCCATCTGCATTTACCATACTGTATATTGTCCTTGTTGAAAAGTGACACAATATCTGTACTAAGGAGACTGTAACTTTGAAAGATACCACTCTTCATTTGGTCAGTTAATGTGATTAATTTGTGTTGTTTAGACTCAGCAGGACGTCGGCGCTTTCAGCACTTGGCTTGTTGTTTGGGGATTCTCTGTGTCATTCTGCTGGGTGGCATCATCGGAGTCTGCGTCTACCGTAAGTACACAAAACAGGAAGTGCATTATCTCACACTTAGACATGAGACAAACCGTAAAGAATAGTAGCAGCTGTTTGATCTGTTTACACCATTTGATATCAGTCATGTACATGCCACAGTATGACTGTGTAGAAAGTATTATTATGAGCGTCTTCCTCTTACAGAGTGGTGCAATGATGACGCATCTTTGTAGGCCAACATGGAGGTAGCATCCATTAATGTATTGTGCTTGTTTTCCCAAATAAAGCCACATTATCAATCAAGAAGCCGTTCATGTGGATGAATACATACATTAGTTTGAGACTTTCCTATACTGTACATACCTGCAGCTCCATTAGTGGGAAATACAGACAAGTATGCATACAAATAATTAAAAGATGAGTCAAGTCATATTCTATATTTCTCTTGTTCTTAACAAATCACATGATCAGACCCAAACGACAATGAAAGTCTATCTAATGTCAATCTATTAACACATGTCATGTGTCTTTCATGTTACTGAGCCTCTGTGAAGTTCTGAGTTCATCCCACACTCTCTACTAGGGGTGTAACGGTATCCGTATTCGTCCCGTACCGTCACGGTTCGGACGTCACGGTTCGGCACATGCAATCACACAACGAATACGCCTTTTTTTTACGAGTGGGAAACAAGTCTGTCATTCAGGGAAGTATCCACTACACTATATATAATCCAGGGGGCGGTATTGCGCCTAAAAGCTGTTTGCCAGCCGCCCTTAAACAACACATTTAAGAACAAGACGAAACACAACAACAAAACGAACAAAATACAAGAAGAAGAAAAGTTAGTATGGCGATTTCAGATAACACACAGGAGCTAGAACCCACCTGCTTCTTTTAAATCAGCTGTGTGGGAACATTTCGGGTTCCCTGTGGACTACAACAACGATGGAGTGTGCGAGTGGTGGATCGGACGAGGACGGTGTGTCGGCGTTGTTCGATAGTGGTGCGGTATGCTAATGGTAACACACGCCAAACATGCTAAATCATATCAGAAGGCATCACTCAGATTTGCCAATCACCGGAGCCCAAAAGACAGCAGCAGTTCAACAGCTGATCCCCGCTGTTTTTAAGAAGCCAATAGACATGAGAGCCGAGAGACCAAAATAAATAACGGAAGCTTTTGGCATATTTTTCAACGGCTTGAAACACTTTCTTATTATTTATGATTTTCAAGACATTCTTTTTAGTTTTACAGCTTGATGAAACCTTTTTGTTTGACATCAGCCATTATAGATAATCTGGCCATCTGAGTGTGTGTGGTTTGTTTTGAACTGTTTAATACAGTTAATTATTCAAAATGTCAGAGTTCCTTATTTTTAAACTGACACTTGCACTACTGTTCAAACATAAATAACAACAAACCTGGAATTATGCATTTGGGACTTTTTCTTGCTTTTTCTTGTTGAACCGAACCGTGACCCCCAAACCGAGGTACGAACCGAACCGTGACTTCTGTGAACAGTTACACCCACTCTCTCTACCCACCAGCGCTTGCTATTTCACAAATGTGTGGCTTGAAGACTTCCCCATTCCACTCCTCTCTTAGTAATGTTGACTTCAAACCACAGTGACAAGCAGTTCCAGGCAATGTGAAATATCAATGGGTCTGAGGATTGGAGAAGTCAGAACACTTTGAGACGGACTGAGACATTTTTAGTTTTAGTCTAAAGACCGGAAAACTTAACGTGAGACTGACAGGAAAAAGCTTCCAAAAGAGGCAAATCGACAAAAAAACTAAATTGCATTATAACCTTGATTATAAAAGAAGCTAATTTCTCATTTTGCAGTTACATTAATTCATGAGAGTGATCCAAACCGGTTTAAAGAAAACTCATCTCTACGGGCAACCAACACAAAACTCAGCTTAGAAAATGCCAACTTGACGAGGGACAACAAGTATCTGACGCACCAGTTGGGCAACCTGACACAAGCCTATAATGTCTCAGAGAGAAACGTCAAAGACCTTTCTGCAGGAGTCCAGGAGCTGACAACAAAAAACCAGGAGCTGGAGACCGAGAAGAAGAACTTGACCCAGAAAATACAAAACCTGACAACAAACTGGAATGAGCTCAGCATCAGTCGAGCTCAGTGGAGCATCGATTCCTACTGCTTAGGAAACGCCGGTATGTTCAGATCCTATATATTAGGTCATCATTACAATATGTTCAAAAGGCAGGCATGTTGCTGATTGTTTGGAGTCTGTTGTTTCAGATAAAAAGTGTAAACCTTGTCAGAGGGGCTGGTTACTCTCTCAGCCCAGCTGCTATGCGTATATTAACGCTCAGCCTGCTAATCAAAAAACCTGGGAAGAAGCTCAAGGAGACTGCAGAGGAAAGAATTCAGATCTGGCTGTTGCACATGATTCAGAAGAAAAGGTAAACCCATCAATATGATGCAATTAGAAAGTAATTGTGTTTTGTGTAGGTTTGAACTAGGGCTGTGCGATTATGGCAAAAATCATAATCACGATTATTTGGGTCAATAATTGATATCACGATTATTTTGACGATTATTCATTGACCATTTATTGAACTTTAAAACAAATAATATTTTACCAATAAACAAGATCAACAAATATGTTGGAGCGCACTTCCAAAACCATACTAAACATATATTATTAATATGATAAATAAAAATAAATTAGACCAAAATAAATGAAATCAAACATGTTGCAGTGCACTGTCACAACCTACTGAAAACTCCTTAACATATAGCCAACATTTTGGTAAAACATATTCAACATATTCCACTCAGTTAAACGTTGAAGGCTGGCCAACCGTCATGGTCCAGAAGTAACAGGAAATAAATGTTGAACTACAATTTAAGACCAAATAAAAATGTTTAGGCCACCATGGCAAATGCTGGTAGGGCTGCTCATGTCATCTCTTAAATATGTTTTGCAAGAAACACCAGGCTGTTTACATGGTCTGGTTTCAGAGATGAGCGCAGGCAGGTGACAATATTGCCACCTGTACTGAAGACCCTCAGCCACGCCCCGACACATGGGGTGACGCCGGCCAATCACAAAGCTTTGATGCGTTCAAGTGCATTATTCTGGCACAGGAAGATTATGTTACAGGACATTAACGATAAAACAGAATATTGTTGTTCTATTTTTAGACACATCTCGCGATCGACTGGTTGGGCACCCCTGGGCTAGACCATAGGTCTGTTGTGGTAGCAAAGTAGCCAGCTGAAGCCACATCTCTCTCAACTTCCCCACGGCATTTGTCATATAGCGCAGCCGCAGACCTGCTGAAATAATACCGAGACGGCATCACGTAACGCTTGTCCAACGTGTTGACAAGTTGCTTAAAGCCCTGGTTGCTAACAGTGCTAACTGGGCACAATATCTTTAGCGATGTGAAATGTAATGGCACCTGTAATATCTCTGTGTCTCTGCGAGCTCGTCGCGTAGGCCGTTGCTCTGTACAATGCGTCCAGAATCGATGACTGTGATGATGTGGTGGATGAAGTCGAGCGGGCATCTGCTTTTTGTTGTATTACTGCCCGGTCGTATTGCACTTTGTGGTTGTATTTCAGGTGATTAAAGAGATTGGTTGTGTTAGCGTGTGGTGCCAACACAACCTGGTAACAAATCCTGCACTATACTTTGTTTTGCTCCACGTCGGACTCCTGAAAGCCAAAGTACTTCAAAATAGTGGAAATAGTTGTACCCTTCTTTTTAACGAGTTGCTGCTCTTGATCTGACATCTTCGCTCGCGCTGAACACTCACAACACATGTCACTCCCACGTGGCCGAGTGGGCATTTAGGGATGGGCGAAAGCGCACCCAGCAAAAATAATCGTATTTTGTCAATTATGCTGTTTTCATAATCGTCGCAAACCATAATCGTAATCGCGATTAAAATACGATTAATTGCACAGCCCTAGTTTGAACACACTTTGGGTCTTTAGGTCATTATGTGTTTATTACAGTTTAATGTTTAAATATCTGACAACTCTCTCTCTGTCTTCCAGGAAGCAATCAATGAAAACGGTTTAGGATCTAATGGATTCTGGATTGGTCTGAGAGTTGAAGATGGGAAATGGAAGTAACAATAGTTTATTTATATTTAAACAAATGAAGCCAGCAATAGGTCCCCCGAGGCTGGCACAGAGAGAGTGCCAGAGGAATGAGCGCGAGGGACGAATCCGGTTGGGCTCTCTTCTAGTAGGCTTCCCCGACCCAGGTGCAGCTCATCAGGCAAATGCCGGCCCCACAGCACTGGATCGACCCCCCGTGGTGTGGAGAGGTCATCACACTTATGTCTTGTCTCGTCTGTCATTGCACTTCCTGTTTTATTTACCTGTCTCTTTTCAGAGCTCTTGACTGTCACACCATTTGTGTGTTTTCCCGCCACTGTGATTGTCGGCCTCAACCTTGATTGTTTCCGCCTGTGTCCCATTAACTCTTCTATAAATACTCCTCGTGTCCCTTTGTCCTGTGCCAGTTCGTCTTGTTTCGTACAATGTCAAGAGAGCCAGAGTTTTCCAAGCTAACATCTTCAGTTTCAAGAGCCACATTAAGTTACTCTCCTTGTACTTTTGTGCTGAGTCGTGCAGATGAGTCCAAGTCTCTGTCTCACTTCCCTTAAACATGCATTAATCACTTCAATGTTGCAGCTGAAACAGAAGGATTGAGTCGTTTTTAAACGCTATACTGTTAGATATCTTGTGAGTTTCTTCCTCAAATATAACAATATAACATATATCTGATAATTGGAGTGGAAGTGTAAAGTAGCAGGAAATTGAAAATTCTCAGTAAAGTAAACTACATCAAAAATGTTGCTACTACTACAAATTCATAATTTTAGCGAAAGCCAATCAGAGCACACTGGGCTTTTCAGAAGGGCTTTCTAAAGAGACAAAGTGTTTGTCCTTGTCGTTTTCTCTCATGTTGCTCGTCAAAGTTATCAGTACGTAAATCAAGCCAAATAAGGTCAAAACTATTGGAGAAGTTGCAACATGTCTGACCCTGACGTACATTAAAACGTTACACCATAACCTCAGAGCAGAAGTCGACTGAAGAGCGTCACATCAGAGCAGACCCTCTCTGACAGCCTCAGGTCTGCAGCAGGACTTCAGACTCTCCTCCAGGATGAACAGAAGAACTCAGCAGGAAATGGGTAATTCAATATATTCTAATTTGTGAGTGAGTGTAAAACATTGCTTTTTCCTTTTACCGAGACATTGTCTAAAAATGTTCCTATTCATAGTGTTTCTGATTCTTGACCAGATCTGAGCAACAAAGGGTTTAAAATAACATTTATTTCAAATTTGATCTTTAAAATTGTGATTTTCAAACTCTGATAAACACAGAATTATAAATTCAATGCATTTCTTTCTCTCAGAATAAATTGAGTAAGAAACTGGCGATGTCTCAACATCTTCTTACGACAAAATCTAAAAAGTCAGATTTTAGTTTGTCTAATGGATTTAGTTTCAGCAGAAAGATATTTGTTTGTTATTTTAAAGAAAATGTCAGCGTGAGAACCGAACAATTCTCTGTGTGTGGTTTTTAGTTCTGCTTTAGATTCATATCTGGAGTTTAACGTTACTCGTACATTAAGACTCAACACATTTGTTATCTCTCTATGTAGAAGTGCGTTGTTGACTTCTGCTTCTGATCCCTTACATAACGGCTACTGTTTTTAAATATCGGTTTAATCCCAAAATCCACCTTTCAGTGTTTCAATGGTTCCTCGTGGATGCTCAACATGCTGGGAGTAAAACTGCACTCAAATATAAATGATGTGTTTATCTTTCAGAGGAAATTGAAGAAGAAGAAGATGACTCTGTTAATGCATCAAGAGGCGCTGTGGATTCAAAGAGAACCCGTCCAGGTGCATCATGAACACAAAACAATCCATGTTTAATATTCTCAACATGGGATTTATGTAGCAATCACAGTGTTCAGAAAAGGGAGTAAAGAAAGTTGAAAGTGTGAATATTGAATCGTCTCTTTTTGTTCTACATGTATCCTAAGCATCTGTGGCTGTCATGTTGTTTAGGTTTTTTAACTGAATTATTGTTTTTCAGGCCGGAGGTTTGTTCTTCCGATAGCAGTGTGTTGGATCGTACTGTTAGCCATCATGGGTCTCCGTATCTACTGTGAGTATCTTCTGAGTGAAAGTCAGTTCAACAGTTTGTATTAGATGTGACCTGAAGCTCTGTGACTCCGTCTGTTGATCCAACATCTCCCTCTCCTTTGCTGCAAGATTCTGCAATAGGAGGCTGAAATGTGTGTTAAGGGAAGTGTGTGTGTGAAGGGGGAAGTGTGTGTGTTAAGGGGGAAGTGTGTGTGTTAAGGGGGAAGTGTGTGTGTGTGAAGGTGTCTGCTTGTGTTCTCCATATTTTACAAAAGGCAGTGGTTTGAAATGTCAGAGCTGTTGTAAGAAGTCTACAATACAGAGGAGACCAGTCGCTTTCCAAATGCATGTAGCTCGTTGCTTTGTGAAGCAAACATGTGAACCCTTTCTTCAATGTTTATCAAGAACATCAAAACACTCAGAGACACAAGCCTTACAGCCCAACACCTTCCTCTGTCTGTGTCTGTAGTGACCTCTGAACTTTCAGGAAACAATGCCGAGCTGTACTCACGAATCCAGGAGCTGGAGACACGGGAGAACAACTTGACACAGAAAATACAAGACATGACAACAAACTGGAATGAGCTCAACATCAGTCGAGCTCAGTGGAGCATTGATTCCTACTGCTTAGGAAACGCCGGTATGTTCAGATCCTATATTAGGTCATAATAACAATATGTTCAAAAGGCAGGCTTGATGTTGATTGTATGGACTCTGTTGTTTCAGATGATAAGTGTAAAGCTTGTCAGAAGGGCTGGTTACTCACTCAGCCAAGCTGCTATGCGTATAATGACGCTCAGTATCCTCATCAAAAAACCTGGGAAGAAGCTCGAGAAGACTGCAGAGGAAGGAATTCAGATTTGGCTGTTGCACATAATTCAGATGAAAAGGTAAACCCATTCATATGATGCGATTATGAAAAGTGAATGTATTTTTTTGTAGCTCTGAACACACTTTGGGTCTTTAGGTCATGATGTGCTTATTTACTTATACGGTGTAAATACCTGATATCTGTTTCTCTGTTGTCAGAACGTCATCTATAAATACAGCCGATTATATAGCCGATATATCCGGTTTGGATCTATCGAGGAAAAAAGCTTTGGAAATAGAGGATTCTGGATTGGTCTGAGAGTTGAAGATGGGAAATGGAAGTGGGTGGATGGAAGTGATCTGACTGATAGGTAAGAGACACGTTACTAAACACTTTGAATAATACAATCTATCAGCCTTTCTCTAAACATCATGTTCTCTCCTCAGCTCCTTTAATGCAGAGGCTGCTGACGGTCACTGTGCAGTCTCTGTCCTGAGAGAAAGCAACTGGGCATCAGTGAGCTGTGAAGAGACACATCAATGGATCTGCCAGAAGAAGGCTCTCTCTGTTTAAACAAAGCAGTCAATCAAAGAAAGTTACTGCTAACTCTTTAAATGAAGAAAATGAAACACATTTACAGGCCTATAAATGTTAAACTATGGATTATCCTACTAGAAAAATCAAAATAAATTCCAAACAATCCAACTTTACCTTGTCAAACAAAAAAAAACAAAAAAAGTTACATAAACTTTGCATAAATGGTTAAACGTGTTGGTATTAGAGATGCAACGCTTCAACTCTGCAGATTATTGCAAAGACTATGGACCATGTTATTGAATTGTTTCTACCGGCCAGCAGAGGGCGCTGCATCACTTGTTCTCAATACAAAGTTCCAGAGTCTGTTAAATAACTATGTTTCAGGATTCAAAGGTTTATCGTCATGACATTTAGAAACTACGGTGTGATTATGTAATGTATGAAAACATGTGATCTCAGGTTCCTTAACAGTGCAATTAACAAGACATAAGAAATACATATAAAAAACAACTATACAAATAGAAATAGTGCAAGCTCAGGTGTTTAATAGTCTGATGGCCAGTGGGGTGAAACTGTCCCTGATGCTATTCTGATGACGCACAGTTTATGGATGATTTGTATCTATCTGTATTTGTGTCTTTGAGCAATGTCTTGTTTCACTCTGTTGTCACCAGTGAATAAATGTGCTGCCACACATTGTTGTTTTTGTGTTTCTCTTGAAAACATCAGTGCTTTAATCAAGTCTGGAGAAACAATCTGATTCATGGTGCGACCATTTGGATGAGAATAAGATAGAAGGAGATCAGGCCTCAATATTCAGTCACTCTGTCAACATCAGCACCAGCAGAGTTCAGAGAGGGACAGGAAGTGGAGGTGGATTGGCCAAAAGAAGAGCAAACACTAAGTAAGATGTATGTATGATGATAAGATGTGATAATAGTGTTTAAACTCATCGATGCATCAGTGTCCATCAATGCTGCTCAGTTCCTCTAACCCTTATGTTGTGTTCAGGTCTCCTTTAACCCACGGGGGTCAAACTCAAATACAGAGTGGGCCAACATTTAAAAATGGGTACCAGTCGAGGGCCGGACTGGTTCAATGTTTATTGCAGAACTTATTGAAATGAACTTATTGCACATATTAAACCTGGAACTAACAAAGCTTAAATTATTGCCTATAAAAACAACATTAAACATTAAATAATCAGTTGCATTCATTTCTTATGGCTCTATCTGCAGCTTTTCCAGAGTCATTTCTTATGAGTACATTTTCCCACAGGCCAACAACAGCTTCAACAAAACTATTCCCCTCAAAGAACAAACCAAACATGCCCTGTTGTCGTGAGAGAGAAAGTGCAGAAGGAAGCATCCATTGAACTCAGGTTGCTGCTCTGTAAATGACATCAAAACGCATTTTAATGGCCAAACTAACTTTAAAATAGGCATTTTCCATCGAGAATAAAACGAAGTTCGGCCATGTTTTTTTTTTCTTCAGGGAGAAATTTGAAGATCACGTGACGTCAAACAGAGCACATGGTGTAGTCCAAACGATAGCTGGGGATTCTGGGTAGTGTAGTGTCTTCTGCCATCTTTTACTCCGAAAACATATTTGTTTCTCCGAATCGAAGGGGAAAAATACAAAAGCATTGCACACAATTTAAACCAATCAATGTTGTGTAATTAACAAGGATAATCTGGTGTTTTATAGTCGATGAGTAGTACAGATATCACTGTAAAATCAATCGACAGTAAGGGGAATACTTACTTCCGGGTGTACAATTCTCCGTTATCCAATGAGAATGGACGCTCACATTGCCTTTAAGGGCAGTCGACACAAACGAACGCCGTGCTTCCATGAGCGTCCATAGAAGCATATGGACATCCCGGAAAGCTTAAAATGGACGCTAAGGCCCCCCCTTGCGTTGAAAATGGACGCTAAGGCCCCCCCCCCTTGCGTTGGAAAAAGCCGACAGGGGACTTGACATAACGTCAACATAGGCCGACCTGGGAGTGAGGATGTGTTGATCAGAGAGACGCTCTCATCAGGACTGCAGCAGGACTTTGTTCAGGACGAAAGGAAACATAATCGAGGATATGGGTAATTAAAGAATATTCCAGAGTTTATGTGTGTGTTTGTTTGTGTCCAAGATATAACCTATGATATGTTTTTCTTTTCATTTACCAACATGTTTTCCTTGTATGACTATATATGCGTAAATTGCTTTTGAGGCTAGACCACTCCCTAGCAGCACATTATTTTAAATATCCAAATTCATATAAGATTGAATCTTTAAAATTATAATTGATCAGCTCTGCTGAACATAGAGACATCATGTTTAATGCATTTGGGGATTTTTGGAGAGTGAATTAGGAAGAAGCTTGAAGTTTATCAATATGTTAACCACACATGATGAACTATTGTACTAAATACTAAATGTGCTTCATTTTTAACAATAACATGAACAAATGTTTTATTTATAAGATTTTAGTTTGTCTAATTGGTCTTTAATCTCGTTTTAAAAAGTCAGCATGATACACTTCTCTGTGTGTGTTTAGTTCTGCTTTCCTGCTCCTGATGCTTTGCGTGACAGCAACTGATTTTACATCGTTGAGTTTGATTATAAACTCCATCCTTTAGTGAAATGGTTCCTCATGCGTGCTGAACATAATGGGAGGGAAGCTGCATATCTGATGAAACAGTATGTGTTTATCTTCCAGAGGAAATCACAGGAGAAGCTGACTATGTGAATGCACCAGAAGGCCCTGCGGATAAAAAGGCACCGCGTCCAGGTGAGCTGTGAACACAAGCAACCATGAGATTTATTCCACAGTCATATTATTTAAATAAAATAGTGATGAAGGTTAAACATGTGAATATTAAATCAGCTCTTTTTATTTTATATTAACTGTTCATTCATGTTCAGTTACGTTACTCAGTCCAGAGGCCGCTTTTATTCAATGCATTTTCCACCAATAGCAGTGTGTTTGCTGATAGCCATTATACAATCCATCTTTTGTCCAATGGTTTTTGAAGTTTGATCATATTGGGAGTTAAATTCACATCAATGCACACAATGTATACTTAATAATAATAATAATGTCTTGTTTTTCATTACTGCACATCATTTATTACAATTCTATTTCTGAGATTTCAACCATATTCAATGTAAATACTGCTATAGCAGTTTTACAAATAAAATAGTTGTATTTTAGTATTTAAAAAAGAAAATGTATGTCATTATAGTTTTCTTAAAATTATTTTCTATCAGTTTTTTAGTTTCAGTTTAATTTGTATGTATGTTTATGTATGTACCACAACACCAAGTCAAATTCCCCCTATGTTAACCTACCTGGTAATAAACTGTTTCTGATTCTGATAAACTTCATAAAAACACATTATGTCTTTATTTTTCAGACGACACCAAAAAAGGATCTGCCCCAGAAGGCACCGTGGATACAAAGGCATCCCCTCCAGGTGCATGATCAACACATTTCACTATGTAATACTGTTAACAC